TCTATCTCTATCTCTATCTCTATCTCTATCTCTATCTCTATCTCTATCTCTATCTCTATCTCTATCTCTATCTCTATCTCTATCTCTATCTCTATCTCTATCTCTATCTCTATCTCTATCTCTATCTCAATCTCTATCTCTATCTCTATCTCTATCTCTATCTCTATCTCTATCTATATCTGTATTAGTACCCCTCTATCTTTATCTTTTTCTCTTTCTCTATCTATAACTCTATCTCTTTATTTACCTCCATATCTTCCTCTTTCTCTATCTTTATCTCTTTATCTCTCTTTATCTATATCCTTCCCCGAAGTCGGCTAGAAGTTTCACTCCAAAAATTTGGCTTCGTGTGTGATTTCGGTAAAACTCACCAAATCGACTTGCGTATCCTCCAAATCGAGCGCGTCTGTGTCCACGGAGCTGCGCTGTTGATGTTGCAGCAGTAGATTTTTCCGCCTCGTTGATGGTGTTAGCAGCATATTCGAGGTATACGAGGTCTCGGAGCCCTCCTTCTGTTCGGCCGTCAAGACAGTCACTTGCGACTCATTCCAAATGCCATCCGAGTGATCGCGCGTAAGATCGTTTGCCAGCGAGTCCGAGGAAGGATAAGTGGACGCATTTGCAAATAATAGCTCCTCGCGGCAGGGACTGGGTGGCGCCGACACATCAACCGCTTTCTGTTGCGCCACATTTTGCTCGTCTAAACTCACTGAACGTTTGCGCATACTCGCACGCCGTTCCGCTATACTGGGTACGCTTGTGGGCTTGTGTACGCTGGGCACATTCTCGTATAATGGATCGTGTTGATCGCTTTCCTCCTGCTCCACTTCATCTGCCTCCATAACGGCTGGCTGCTGCTCGCCTTCAACCTCATCTTCGTAGTCATCTTCACTTACAGAGGAACGTGAATCGGCAGCCTGCAATGCGCGGCAATTTTCGCATTCATCTACCGATTTTTGTTGCGCACCATCCATTGAAGGCGCCGATGGCTGTGTTGGTAGCTTATATGTAGGCCGATATTTAGTTGGCGCCACTTGTTGCTGCGCCATCGACTTTGTGGAAACATGCGGCTTGAAGTCTATAAAGATCTCCTTCTCATCGAAGATATCACCACCGGCTATCACTGTTTTTGGTTTTGCCTTGGAGCGGAAGGATGTGCGCGGCCCAAAACCGTCAATTAGTTTCTCCTGCTTCACAAAGATGGGCATCGATTGGCGACGTATGTCGTCGCGTCTGAAGGGCGTAGGTGTGATGTCGGCATCTAGTGGCGGTAGCGTGGCCACCATTGACTTGCGTCTATGCAAATCGGCAGGTTCGGCGGCGACGCTAGGATCTGCCGTCAGTGTGGAGGTGGACGTTAGCGGCTCATCGGCATTCTTACAGTACTCGCTGGGCGGTGGCAGCAAATGTGGCTTCGAAAAGTCAAGCAGTCCAGCACCGCCGTTACCATTGCCATTGATGTCGCCTATCAGCTCTGGACACTCGGTAATGTGCTTGCAAATATCGTGCGCATGTAGCGGCTCACGACGCGGCAGGCTATTCGAGCTAAAACTGCTTTCTCGATGGAATGTGCAAGCGCGCCGTGGCAAACTATTGCTTTCGTAGTCGAAGGCGATTGCGTCTTTCGGGAAGAAGGGCGTGCTCTCCTCGGAGGGCAGTTGCGACGAGCGTCGGCTATAGTAGGACATCGTATCGAGCGGCGGCGGTGGTTCATAGTAGTTTATGTTGTTTGGATCGTCGAGATCTAATGGTGACTTTGGCGGCTCCTCTGACTGCGTGCGATAGACGACGCCGTGGTCGATGAAGTTTCTGCAAAGAGTCAGAGGAAAAGTTAGAACAAAGGAAAGATTTGGGAAATATGCGAGTTTCGGTCGGAGAGCATGCACTTGGCATACCTCATATGACGCTCCTCTGCGCTCTGTAAAGCTTGTCCGTTCGGCATTTCTGACAGACTCTTTGTAAGTTTCTTGCCATTCAACAGTCCATTCGTCTGCGCGCCTTGTGAGACCACTTTGACCTGTAATAAAGGCGTGAGTTGAAACTCCTAAACTGACGTGACGTGTAAGTGACCCTTTCTCTTCCTCCTACATACCTTATGCATTGTACGTGGACTTAGCGCCAAGACTTGCGCGAATGCGTCCTTTCGCACCTCCGTTTGTGTAGCTTGCGTCTTCATGGCACTGCGGAATTTCTTCTCCACCACCAGCACCTCCGGACTAGGCGGCGCCAGCACCTGTGTAGTGCATGTAAGCACACCCAACCCGGTCGGCAGTACCGTTCCAGCAACACCACCACCTATACCCAGCGGTATGTCATCCATGTGCGACAATGGCCTGCCGGATAACAAGGAAATCGGTTGTTCAGTTTGCACCGTTGGTCCCAGTTCGGCACCAGCAAAAGCTGCCGGTACAAATTGATGTATATGAATAGGCGGTCCATGATGATGCTGGTGAGAATGCCCATGCCCATGCGATGGATGTATGTGTGGTGGCGCATGCTGATGCATGATAGCCTGCTGATGTGGATGCATGGCGATCGTGGGCGGTAAAGTCGAGATATAATTAGTCGGCGGATGGGGTTGCTGCTGTTGTTGTTGCTGCTGTTGTGAATGCATTAGGGACGGCTGCCCCACTTGCGGTGGCAGCTGTATAGACTCGTACAACGAGCC